ATAACGTTTTTGAGCTTTCACTGAATATACTTATTAAAGATAATTTTAAGCGTGAAACCTGTCCGTATTTTGATGTCATGATATGTAAATTAAAAAATTGTTATTTTACGGTGATAATCATGTTTTCTTGTGCCCAATAATGCATAATTTCATTTGATAAACACGTTTAGATTGAATGGTAATTTATAATCAGTCACAAGAACGTCGAATCTGAATCACTTGAAAAAAACACGGGGGTGCTTAACTTTTTTCCAGGTGTATATATTAATTTTATAGCTTTGACTGGTTTGCAAACACTGAGGTTTCTAAACACAACTATGGATATAACTGAAATATGGCTCATTAATTGCTACCAGCGAACAATTGAACTGATGCTAACGAGCACTTTGAAAATATAAGGCAACCTCAGACTGAGGTATATTCATTTAAAAAAGATTGATCCTCAAACATTTGTTAGTTTTTTAACGAACGCGAGAAATGTACTTGCTTTATTATTCTTTCTTACACAATGCCAGCCTCTGGCAATTTCGATATAAATTGTAAACTAAAAAATAAATTGCCTTTTACAGTATTTTGCATAGGGATGGCAAACGGGAGTTTGTACCGAGAAGTGGCAAACTCAAACGTTCATACGGTTATTAGTAATAGAAATAATTACAGATACTCTAAAACATTGTTTGGTTCAGATATTGAAACGTATTTATTATACTGAAATATTTGGTATAGGAGACAAATTACATATTTGATTTAATCACAAAAACACGTATGGAAAGAACGACTATAATAACAGATACTATATGACTACAACACAGAAAAATATGAAATGTAGTCTTTATTTATCAGTTCATTAAGTCTAGACTAAAAGAGTAGCCTATAAATGCCATAGACGATGAAAATTTGATTTTCAGTAAAAATGAATTATTTCTGCATACTATTATTTAACAAAAATAACGTAACTTATTTCACACTTTGCCTAATAATTTAATTTAATCTGTTAGACCGTTGTCATCTTTAATAGTTTTGTTTTTAATTGGTTTTGGGTTTGAAATGTAAATACTTTATGAATATGTGTTAACATTCATTAAATGCAGACGTTCTTTGAAAATCTCAGGCTACATGGGGAGTTTTCAGAAAAAATATGCAACTGAGTAACAATACTGCCATTAAGACAATCTGCGGTGAAACCGAGGCTACACCGCAAGTGTCCATGTCGAAGTCCTTACAAGCCGCTTCCATGCTTTTTGCCGATTTTCCCAGTGCTTTCTTCAATAGGTTAGCGTCTGGATTCTTGCATTCTTTCTCCAAGATGTCATCAACACAGTCTTCCAACCTTTTCATTGTGCTAAAGAAATCGAAAAAGAAAAAAAAGGGAGAAACAGCTTTCGAGCAGAAGATAAAGCGATACAAATGAAACTGAGGTTTGCACAAGTGATAGATCAATGATAACTACTATAATGTTTCTACTTTTAGATTCTAGAGTTTATATGATACAAATGAAACTGAGGTTTGCACAAGTGATAGATCAATGATAACTACTATAGAATCTAAAAGTAGAAACATTAGAGTTTATATGATACAAATTAAACTGAGGTTTGCACAAGTGATAGATCAATGATAACTACTATAAAATCTAAAAGTAGAAACATTAGAGTTTATATGATACAAATTAAACTGAGGTTTGCACAAGTGATAGATCAATGATAACTACTATAGAATCTAAAAGTAGAAACATTAGAGTTTATGTAACATAAAATACTCACGCTCTGCCGTGGGGTTCAAAGGCCCTCATTATGATTCAAGCGGTCCAGTGTACCAGTCAAGCTCTTCCATTATCCCAAGTAACTTATATAGCTACCCCAATGGGAGTTCGTACCCGTAAGAAAAAAAAAAGTTAGAACATTCGCACTGAGCATGTGGTCATTTTGTTCCCGATAGTTTGTGGGTGGGGAATATTATCAAAGTTTCAAAAGATCCCAAGATGGACCAGGAACACAAAATCCAGTGCCATATTTGAGCTTAGCGATACTGAAAACTTAATCGTATATCCTTTTTATATTTGGATGAACTTCCTGGCGTGTTTTAGTTATAAATAAGGACGCCCACGAGTCTGGCTGCTAAGTTTGTTCCTGTAAGCTTTAAATTGTGGGAGAAGTTCAGGGACAAATAAAATATTCACAACGTGAATTAATGTAAGATAATGTTTATAAAGAACTTCAAAGTACTACTACTCACCAACAAATCATACGTTGTTTTTCATTATTGGACGTTTCTTTCTCTGACGATTTAATCGAGTCATAGGATTCTTCAGAGCACTTAGTTACGTCTTTGCTAACTTTAGCTAAGCATATCAAATCTACATAGTAAACAACAACAACAAAAAATTAGTCAATAAAATGCTAATATCGTATACTTCGCAAGTGTTCAACAAGAAAAACTGCTCGTGGTCATTTCCAATTTAACTTGTGACCACAAACTTTACTGTTAATAATATTCGTACATTTTCAATTATTACTGACTGAACGGAAATAAAGAGTGTCCTGAAAGTGGACTCTTATTTAGTAGTATGGGACAGGCGTGACTTAATGCTATCGTGCGTTGCTGCTGATCGGAGGTCCAAGGTTTAAGCTACGACTTGCTGCTGGACATTCTCAACTATGTGGTTGGTCGTTCTCTTGATCGGTGTTTAGGTCTTATAGACCTGGGATTAGTCAGGTGCAAATGACCTCTTCCTACCCCCCCCCCCTCCCTGGTAGATGGCAGCTGTTTCAGGTGAATACTAATTTAAATACTACATGAGGGTCAGAGTATCCCGTGGTTACCCTGACCCCTTTTTCAGGGTAATGTCCATGTAGGTACTTACACTTATATTCGTGTGAATACATACATTATCTCTATATGCAAAGTCCTGCACATGGAGAACAGTTCCACATGTATTTTTCACATACATTAATCAAGAGAATTTACATAAATACTTTTTTTTTAATGATGTCGTGTCAGCTTAAAACTATAGTGGGTTTCTTAGTCTACCGTTAGGTGGCCGTATTAAATGTTTATTCTTAACATATATATATATATCAAATAATGAGAAGTACTTAGGGCTATCTTCATATATGCAGTAGCGATCTAATTCACACAGAAGGTCATTTTTTGTGCCAATTTTTCGCGAAATAATTTAGCGAATTATGTAGGAGTCTATGAGAGATAGTTTGTATACCTGCATAATTGTGCATAAATGTTGATGAAATGTATCTGGGTACTTTGGGCAGTAGTGAGTAATGAATTTTGTATTGTTTGTAGTTTATTGATGTGTTTTGGTGCTATGTTTATCCATGCTGGCCATAACTTTCTACCCTTATCAACTATAATACCAAGAAATATATAATTTCTGAGTCAGAATGTCAAGTTTCAAAGTTACAGACAATTTGGAGACTGGAAGATAAGAATTAATATTTAAATCATTTCCTATTTTGTTCTTAACAAAATTATCTGTTGTCAAACAGACTCATTATGTTTAGTCCGTTAATATATTTATATGTTGTGTCAGTTTCAACCTTATATTATTTTACAATCATAATTTATTCTCTAAAAGTAATCAGATAGTCAATCAATATCCATTTTCAACAGCAGTGATAACTGTCTAATTTGTAGTAATTATTCAACACAAGGGGAGACCCCTATAGTTAGATAATGCCGTCGAGCTTGATGGCGCCAAATATTAGTTATTACCCTACTCATGCTGACCTAATTTTACCAAACATGTTTTCTTGCCTGAGTGACAACGATATTTTTGTTGTTGTTATTTTGATAGCATGGTGGTGAACAGCTAGAGTAACTAACTTAAGTTACTCAGTAAACAGTACGTCTATATATTACTTTCCGGCGCTGTGAAGCATGCGCAGTAACATATTGCTCTGACATGTTTCGCTCCAAACCTCTTAAGCTAATTTGTCACGTGTATAAAGTAATCAGTTTGTCCACTTTTTTTTCGTGTTCTATGCCCTCTTGGAAATATTTAACAGCTGCCCAACTCTAGGTATGTGTGATTCTGCAACAAAACCGCTATGAACTCAGTTTCTTCAAGTAAACTGGAACAGTAATATATCATATCTATAATATACTAGATCTATTTGCCATCTAAATAACCAATCAAAACAAAACTACTGGAACTTACATTTTATAACAAACAATGAAATTTTCGATTTCCAGCTAAAGCGTACAGTATTGACACGTTGGAATTTTATAAAGAAGTGAGCCAGAAGAGCAGGTTCGAATCCCACCCGATTGGACTCTACAGTTCTGTAAGTGTTTAACTTAAATGAGGCGATATTCCCTTGTTACATTGTATACTTTAGCCACACTTTCAATTTCCTTTTTCAGCGTGATCAGTTTCATTCTTCAATCGTTACATAAGTTCATTATTTACAAATTACAACCACTAATTCCATTGTATAGATAATATCAACGAAAAATGCTATATAAAGAGCGGGAATTAAATCAATAAATAATTACTCAGTCTCCATAATAGAAAATTATCGCTGTCCTGAAGAATCATTTATTTACTTAAACGCTAGAAAATGTTAGCATCGGCCAAAGCACGGGCCCTCCTCCTTCCAGTTGGGGAGTCCCGTCTCAGCACGTTATCACTGTGCACTCTAGATATCGTAAAAGACTCAGTGGAAACGTTTTTTTTTAAACAAATGTACACGTAATTACGAATGTATGCTATTTTTTTTTCGGTCAGGAGTGTGTAGTTTATCGGGTCGCGATTAACCGCTAGAATGTATGCTATTTTTTTTTTCGGTCAGGGGGGGGTAGTTTATCGGGTCGCGATTAACCGCTAGAATGTATGCTATTTTTTTTTTCGGTCCAGAGTGTGTAGTTTATCGGGTCGCGATTAAC